TAAAGTGAACGATTTGTGACTCAGCCGGATTACAAACGAACATTAAATATCATAACAAGTTTAAACTTTGGATTTTATAGTTGTTAAATCGCATATGTTTAGTATCACATTGTTTATTATAAATACAATTGTACATTTGGTTTTGTATTTTGTACTTGAAATGGTAATTAAAGGTAATCTTATTACTATAGAAATGTGAATTTAATTCTCAAAATGTTAAAATCTTTTATCAAATTCCGGTCTCTAATGAAAATGACATGCCCGTTTCTAAAAACAAAACAGAATTAAATGCAATCAAACTATAAAACTAATTGAACTAGATGTGGGCATATGAGTAGTTTTGACGCGCTCTTCAGACGAGTGCCAGATAAATAATGCGCTCCTAACAACGCTAGGTGTCGCTGACAGACAATGACGAGTGCAGGTGATCGCGCGGGTTAAAACAATACATTTACAGTATACGACACGACTACGTAACGGAATGTAAGGAGAAATAATATAATTGAAAGTTGATAGTTAAATAATATGTGTGACGAATCCATCTTTGGTGTCAACAATTTAGAATAATTGACAATGTCTGGAGTCTCTAATTCACCAAGATATTCTCAATCTTTTTTTTAAATTGCTAATAAAAGGATAATTTTTCAGCCTTAACTTTTACAGATATATTGATTTATGTTGTCACTCAATGTTCAGTCGGCTCCCGCTGCCTTCTATCGCAAAAATGTACGAAATCAGTGTAAGGACATAATTATTAATGTGGCAATTAAAAAGCTTTTTCAATGTCCGCTCGTGCAGGCTCCGCTTTGACATGTTTTTAATCACTGATATTATCGGCCGTCATTCGTATTAATCACAGGCGACACGAGGTATCTTAATTAACGCTTTATTATTAAAAATCCAGAGCTGCGAATTAACTGCACATTTTTGGATGAAAATCTACATAAGTTCGCGAGGCCTATTCACACCCTACGACTTTGTGAGAGCTGGAATACGACTTTTGCGTACATTTTTTACACTTTTAATCCATCCTGATAATCTCATATCATATTAGTTGTAGTGGCTATCCAGTACAAAAGGTCACAGTTACATACGTGGTTTTATTTATTACGCTTTGGTTATCAACTATCAGATGTTTTAAGTACTTACCTCAAACTCGAATCTGGATTGTGAATGCAACGATATTTATTTTAAAAAAAACAGTTAATTCGTGTAACCAAGAAGATTTTTTTTCTATTTCCGATATTATACGTATCTGTTAAAAGTACATTGTCATAAATTTTATTCTTCAAGTCGTGTCGTAATCGTCACGTTGATAATAAATGTCCGGATATCAATATCCGCCAATATCCAGGTAATGAGGGTCGGTAATTAAATGTCGTCTGTCAAAGCCTCGCCGTCGCCGCGTCACATTATACACGTTCAAAATGGCGGACAGTGACGTCACACAGCCGAGGCGCCCTCTCGTGGTCGCTGATGGATTCAATTTTTGCAAATTGATGACAATGAGTCCAAACAAATTTTGATTAATTATATGAAAATTGTATATACTTTTGCTGGAAAATAAATTGTTTTTACTTTTGCGGTGTTAATTTGTGATATCATTTTACTTAAATGGTTTGAATAACGTTATTTTTCAATATCTCCGTGGGTATGGTGATATGTCAGTAGAGCTACATAATACCAAAAGAAATGCAATCATTTTAATCTCTCACTCTACACGCGGCTACAAATCAGTCAGCGCTCGTCATAATTCCAATGTCGTGTCGCACTTGATGGAGTTATGGCGTTTCTTAGGCGATACCCATCTCGGATACGATACAATAAGCGCTTGCAGCGCTGAGCAGCCTAACTACTGCTGCTGCGGTGAAATTAAAGCGCTATTAAAAGTAAGGATGATAAGGGTAATCATGTGGTATGCGGTTTTCTAGTTGTATAGTTCAATATTAGTATACGAAAGTGACATCATCCGAACTATCAGAATAGTAACATTTGTCTTGAGATTCCTTATCTAAATACAACATAAGTCGTAAATTGACTGATTGCTGAAGGCAAATGGTTATTAATTAGCAAAAAATCTGCTCGTCCCAGCGGGGCGCGGGCGGGAGCGCGGAGTGAGAGGTGCTGGGGGGGAAGGCTCTCAATCATAAATCACACCCAATGCCATCGGAGACATATAATTAAATGTATGACGAGTTGGATTTATGCGCCAATAAACATGTCAGTCGGAGTCTTTCTTGTGTACAGATGGCGCCACAGCTGCCCCACGCACCCTTATGATTTTTTAAAGTTTACGTTTGTCGTGTACGCAAATTCTGCTATTTGTGATATTAATTGTTTCTTTTTTAAGGCAAGTAATTTGTATTACTTGTAATAGAAACTAACTACTAACTACTAAAAATAAAACTACTTTGTAGTCTTCCATTAATTGTTTGAAATATAGAATAGACTATATGGAAGTCGTAGTTTAAAGAAATAATATCAAATAAATATTTTAAACATAACAGCGTACTTGTGTTGCTGACTGTACAAAAGCACTTATTCAATATGACATGTATTTTGCACAAAAATTGCACAAACAATAACAATAGCGTGGAAACAATAAGGCACAGCGGGACAACGAACTTACAGAAATGCAGAAACAAAGTTACTGAGGAAGTACAATACGTGACCAATGTTAAGCCGATTTAGGGCCTTTCTTTAATGATAATAGCACAATGTAAACACACGTTGTTTGTTAAACAGACGGTCTGTACCTTAAGAATTTTTAAAATGTCCGTAAGGGCCTCTGTATTTAACGCCTACGTATAACGTTGACTGTTTCAGGAATAAACAATACTTTAAGATAGATTTACGATAAATATATCTATCGTAGTGTTTTAACACAGTGTCATAGTGTGTTGGAATTTATTTACGAACATTTCAAACGGCCCCGTCACCGAGCTGATTTGCGACTTCCAAAGAAAGGTGAACTATTGAAAGTTTCTATTAGCTGCGTCCCCGGAATCGACATCGGCGCGTTTTTTGCCCCAAAAGGGTGGCGAGAGAGCGTTATCTTGGCTTCGTCCGCATCTGTCCGTGCATAAATCTGTCGCGTATGAAAAGAATTAAAACGTTCCATTGTAGACGGCCGAATAAATCTTGGAGATATCTTTGTGAGGGACGCGCGACGCCCGCGGCCCGGCGGGCGACGGGCGCGCTGCGGCGATATTTTACAAGTTTTTGACAGTCGATACGGCCGGCGGGCACCTGCCGCCCCGCCACGCCACGCCGCCTTCCACCAGACTCAGCTCACAGTCACAGCACTGTCTACCCCGTACATAACCACCAGTGACTTCTGCCGATCTCACTTGAACTTTCCGACGTCTAACAATTTCGCCTGAAGACTCAATTTTAATAACAAAAATGAGATGACAGGACACTACAGTTCTGCTATAACGAAGTAGTTGAGCGCAGGCTGTATGTCGACATCCATTCATTCATTCATTCATAGATTCATTCAAGGTATCAGTTAAAATATGGTTTTACACAAAATACATACGTAGAGAGCTTATGATTTCATACCATCATCGTGCCTCCAGATTTATTCGTAAGGATTCTTCTTGTGATATTATTTCTGAAACAATAAATTGAAAGTTTTTATTGAAAGTCAATCAGTCGTTTATCGGTAATAATTAATACGAAGTAAATTGAACGATTTAAAAATATTTATATATTGATGGAAATGAATTGAGTCATTCATTCCACTAAAAGCTTTTTATAATTGCGACAGTGCAATGTCCAAATAACGTATCAAGATTGTGAGGTCCGAGTACACCGCACCACTGCTGTGATCGAATATAAATTGTGATTATTTCACTCAAGATGTTTTCAGTTGATATTGTTTTCTTAAAAACATAAATGTCCACTTAGTTTAACTTTGTTTATGTTAAATCTATCGTTATGTCGATATATTTCATCCATTTGAATAGAACAAACTGTTGCCCTTAAATCCTTAGCAGACACACATGTTTTAATCTCTCTAAAGGAAGGAATTAATCATTTGCGGTGGTCGTGAGAGAGGAACAGCGTTCGTCATAAATCGGGCCCCTATCACCGCATCGCACGTCAATGTATCGCATTACTACATTGTGCCTTTGATATGGAATTTATTACAGGCCGTATTCGAATCACTCGGAACACGTCACCCGGCGTCGCTCGCCGCTCATAAATTCTGTGACATATCGTTTGAGCTCCAAGATTTTTCTGTTTAAAACAATCTACCACTTCATATCGAATGTGATAAACGAGCTTTATTTTAAGAGCAGTAAAATCCATATTCGTCTGCAGTAACAGCAGTAATAACATTGTCTGCGGCATATCGTCGCGTCTTGTCTCATATTAATGACGGTTGACTTTTTTTAATTTATCGAGAATATTTTTAATGTAGATTCTTTAGGGACGCTTGCGTACAGTCATCGTTTTCAAGAAGCAGTTTCTAGTGATTACCTGTCTTGAACTACTTTGTTTATGATGAGATACGAGGCTTTGGATTAAAACTATAGTTTTAAACGCTTCGTTATAATAATTTTATGTGTCTTGCGTCGGTAAATGATTACTGGCAGTATATTTTATAATTGTTAAATTAAACTAAATTATATGATGAGATAAAAGATTGACAATTCAACTATTTATTTTTCGAACGGCCTTTGAATTCGCGGAAAGAGTGAAGGGACTGTTACCCAAAACATCAGCAATTGCAGATGCGTTGCCCACCTTTAATCGGTGAAGACTGAGACGTACAGAGAACAAACATTTTACCTGCCTATGCATCCACTTCTCAGCCAAATCCGTTTCCCTTTCTTTCACTTCACGCCTCTCTTCTGTGTGGTCGTGGTTATGCACCGAGCGAGGCGGTGATCCGGTGTGCCTATTACCTATTGATTTTTCGTCATAATTAGTGTGTGTTATCGATCCTAGTTGTTAGTAAACATGTTGTAATTCAAGTGTGTGTTGTATAGATGCGAGGCGGCGCGTGCGGCGGGCGGCGCTAGTGTGCGCGGCGGCAGAGATGCGCTCCAAGCAGCAGCCGCGGCCCTCCTACCGCTGGCTCGGCACCAACGAAAACGGTACCTAAAACCTTTCATATTAACAATTAATTAATACGCTTTAGCAATATATGTACAGTAGCGGAACTCCCCGCTGTTCCACTTACTAATTTGGCATAGATTTTTTTTAATGTCCGCGAGGAAAAAGTCGCTCGAAAGCTAGTTATAAATATTATAATGCATTTTGTTTGTTTCTTTCGCATCCTCCTTCCTCTTCCTTTATCTTTTTTCTTGCTACTTTTTCTATACGGGTTAATTTTGTGAACTTGTAATAGTATAGTTTGGGCCACCAAGAGTTTGTGTTTAAAAAAATATTCATAATAAATGGAGTCATTCAAAATGTTGCGACGACATCTAGTGACTGGAAAACGAATTAATTCGGTATTAAATGTTATGTAAAATATTCGCACGGCAAGCAATTATAATAATACTAGTGTCAATATTCTTTTCAATATCACGTTCTATGACAAAAGTGTCCGGTCGTTGTTCACACGCGATTCTGTTATCTCAATTAGCTATGACTAATTTCTGCAAACATATTCAACGTCTTTAAAAAGTTAATGCTTTATAACAATAAATTGTACATTTAACTGCTATTATCTATTCATTTTGATACGCATTTTACGCCGTGTTTGCTTTATTTTATATTACCATAAGGATTAAATTGGATTGAAATATATTTATAAAAGTGCATAGGGGTGTGGAGGGGTGTGGAGGGGTGAGGGGTAGTGGTGAGGTCGAATTGAAAGCGGCACCGTGACGTGACAACTCTGAATATTCAACTAAACCTCGCAATAAATATTAAGTTACGAGCGTAGAAAAAAGCTCTGTACAAAACGCAAATGTAATACAGCGTAATAACTCATAGGTCTTTTTGTACAGAACTAAGCCACCGTGAAGCGATAAATAATATTTATTTATGCTATTATACGCGTTTTTGTCAGTTGTAATGGGTGTGAAGTGCGGGCCGGCGCGCGGGCCATGAAACGAGCGGCCGCACAGCGCAGTGCATGTTACAATTGATTGCAACTAAAGACATATGTACTTATACATATTCTTCTAATTATAAACGAAAAAGCAGAGACGTTAAAAGAATAATTAGTAGTAACAAATCGTTCTTGATCGTTCTGTTATAAAATATTCTGTGAATGATCATACATATTACATAATATGAACGTCTTTAAATTTTGTCTTTTACGGTTTGAAACATTAGCATTTTTATCAATCATCAGCATAAGAATTCAATTCGTACACAGTTGAATAATTTGCTTATGTTATTGGACTATTAATTAAACTTGTTTATAATTAATTGAATTGTTGGTATTTGACTATTCTAAATGCTATCATAATTGAGTTTATAAAGCGCAGGAAATTGTTTATGTCGCACTTTAAAATGCAGTTTATTAGATAACAATATTAGGATAACGATTGTTAAGATGATCCAATTAGAATAATAAATGTATGCACTAGTGTATTTTCATTTAAATACATACATAGCTATTTTCGTGGCCCAACACTCCACAAACTCAAGATAGTTAGAAGTACTTGGCCGCTCTGTTCTCAGCTCTGTCTGCGCGGCGCCTACAATGCATCTAATTATTAACTAGCGACTCATTCTTAACACTTCTCAAGCCATTGTTTTTTCCGTTATTATCATATTATTCAATATTTAATCATAATTATAATGTGATTATTTATGTAAGTAACGTGTTTGATTTAAAAATCAATAGAATTGTGTGCTTAACTCCAAAATGCACTTTAAGATGTAACGATTTTTTACACATCTTTTTAAAATATTTATAACAGAATTACGTGTCGGTTTTCGCTTAACTGATCGAGGCATGTTTGACTGGTATATTTTTTGCATACAGTGACGTCACACCGGTCGGAAATCAGCGCATCGCCGGAACAATATCCCACAGCGGACCAATAAAAACTGCGCCGCAATAGTTTAGGCTAATTTATTGCTTTATGCTGCTTTGATTTACATGCCCCCGACCTGTCCACTGCGGGGGGCTATACTGCTTTCTCTCTTATTGTGTACTCTCAAACGTGGCGTCAAATGGTACAATGTGCATTTTTAAATAACAAGTAATTTTTGTTACGCAACTGTTATGATTCTTGGCTGCAGGATTATATGCTTTATTAGTTGTATGTTAAGATACACTGATTTTTCTTATCTTAGAGCATCTATAATTAACTAATTTGGTTAAGTTATTCGTGAATTAATCATAATCTGTTTACGAGAAACATTGGTTCAAAAAAATCGGATGTAGGTCGCTGTTTCTGTATGGACCATATGTTTTATAGAGCGATCCCATTCTCAGAGGCTAAATCACTCTGCTGTTTACCAGCCGAGAGTTAACTGGCGACTTTTATGACGTCTTTTTATACACGTGAGAAAACAATTGTCACAGAGTTAACCGAAGCGCCAATAAAGCGAAGGGTTAAAACGCTTTTGTTGTTTTTACGAGCGACTGCGTGGCTCCTCGTCTTTAAGTTTTATTGGCAATCCTTTATGTGTTTGCGGCGGAGTCGCCGCTCAGATTATTTCTTTGGCCGCAGTCTATTCTCTAGGGCTTCTTTCAGTTTGGCATTTTAAGCGTTGACAGTAATTGACAGTACAAGGGTTGACAGTTTTGTCACACTTTGTTTTGTGTCTGTTGACGTCTCTATATAAATGCTTGTCTTGTTTTTTTATATTTTTTTTACTTCTATGCACATTACAATTTATTATTCGTGTAAATCAAAGTTAATTTTTGTTTTTGAAAAACAATTCAACATTAACCACCGTGAAATTCCAGCAGGCTCCGGTTCATCGCATAACAAGAGGCCCCAATAAAAGTCAATATCGTCGCGTCAATAAAAGTCAAAAACGGAAAAAATCTGTCGAATCTGCGTAAAAGTGTTTACAAACAGAGCGTTTTAATGTTAACGATCGCGGACGGAATAGGCCCCGCGCCGGCCGATGCGAGATTTATGGACTTCGGAATAGCTCCCGTCTTTTAAACGCTGCGTCCGATCACTGAATTTACGGCTTCATAGAGTTTTATAACTGATTTTATCCCTCGTAAAGTTTTACAAGGCGATTTGGTCAACTTTCATTAAGGGCGCCGGCACACTCGGCGTACTTTATTAGATTTACTTTGTCGTTGTTCCTTTCCTATGACGTACTTAATATATGTACAGATGTATGTGTCATGATATTGAATGGGTCCACATCCTTAAAATTATTAAACCACATTGTTTTTAATTTCAATTCAACATTCCGAATTATTAAAAGCATTTATTAATGTGGTTGCATGTTAATAGTCTTATTTAATTTAATAATTTATCGATTTATTAATTATAAAAGTGAAAATTAATCTAATTAGTTTGTACCATTGGAAAGAAACTCGGTTCTTCGCTGTCTAAAGTAGTTTTTTTCGTAGCATAATAAGGCTGACGAATGCCACGCGGGGTGGGCTGTAAATCATTAATAAAATAGATTTAGGACGCTTTGGGGCCATAAAGTACGTTTAGTTGTCAATAAAAGCGCGTAAACAGTTGTCGGGATAGCGCGCGCTCGTAAACCGGCGACTCGCCTTCTGTGTGGCCCGACACAGCTTAGCTTGATTTTTTTAATAATTGCTTCTGACTGCGTTAAACATAGTTATCAAAACGATATGTTACTAAATTATTTCGTTGTTTGATTTAGCAAAAAATAGTTTATTCATTTGTAATTATCAATATGATAAGCGAAATTAAAACACAACTCAGTAAATAATTTACTTGTGGTACTTAATACCGTTATTGGCTACGGCCCAATCCCTTCAGATACCTCTATTTCCTTTAAATCTGTTTTGATAAATGTTGCCGTTAGAAAATAAAGGTGATTTATGAATTAAAGTGACGAAGACTGAATAGAGAGCGTGATTTCATAACTCCCGTGCTGCAAACGACAGTTGTTCAGCCAACGTTGAGACAAACGCCGCCGCGGGGTATATTTATTAGCTAAATTACATTCAAATCAGTTAATCCGACTATGCATCAAGTGGCTACAACACTAATAAATTCATACTTGAAGTTAATTTATAGATCGCGCCGCGTGTCGTGAGGGCGCTGGGAGCGACTGTACTCCTCCGTACTGTAGCAATGAGGACGTGTTTACATGGATTTAGCCCAACTCATCGCATTCGCTTGATTCTATATTTGTAATTAACAAACGCTATTAACAAATTAATACACGATTTTCATATTAAATCATTAATATTAAAGATGCGAAAGTTTAGATGGATGTTTGTTAGAGTTTGTAGCCTAAACGGCCGAAGGCATCTCGATTAAATTTGGTACAGATGTAGTAGATAGTCTGTAAGAACACATTGACTACTCATTTTTGTTTTCTTAATTCCACGCGGACCGAGTCGCGGGCGAAAGCTAGTATTATTTTTTTGCAATTAAGTATTCCGTTATTCGTAAGGTTTAATACCACTCAAAGTAAAAAAAAAAAACGATTTTTTTGCATGCCTAAGAGGTCATATATAATTGGTGTAAGATGCCAATATACATTTCTTCAAGCAAAATATAACATGCTCTTTCCTCTCCATTTACTGAACATTAGTCATTTAAACTCAAAACGGAAACATCAGTTTGGTTCACTTAATTAGTAATTTATATTTCCTGTTTGCGAAACGATTGAATTTTATATCGATTGAGAAATATAAAGGTTGACTTGGATTGATTTTACCGGCTTTTAGACAGATCCCGTTGCTTTGAATTATAACATTCTGAATGAGACACAAGAGACAAGACTTGGAGACATCCTTCTCACGTATTTACTCAAAAGACGGCAAATCTTAATTCGCCGAATTCGCAAAATAGCAGCCTATAGACATCCAAATGCAGATGCATTATCTGTCTTTAATTGGCAGAGAAAGGGACACTTAGAAAGCGGATATAAATGGCAATTTCTATTCCCGTCCCCATCCTTTCGTTAAAAAATGATGGGTAGATAAAGTGTCTTAAAACTAACGATAAATTAC